CAGGTAATTTCTTGCTTTAATGTGGTTTTTCCAGTTAGTCTAAGACACTTGAGATGCTTTTGAGTAAAACATACTAATTAGACAAAATAGATCCACAAGAAAGAGAATCTGTGCCTTCACAGAGGACACTCTCCCTGGGGTGTTGTGGTACCCTGGAGTTTATTTAAAGTACAAAGCTATAATTGTAGCAAATGTAGTACCACAATGACAAGTAGATAAACTATTGTCCCACTTCTGTAGCTATCTCTGGTAAATCTAGAAGCTGTTTGTGATGATACTCTTTTTGTGTCACGTTATCTCTTCTATTTTGAATGTGTGCACCTTTTCACAGTGTTGTTAGTTGAGAACATGATGCCAAATCATGAAAGCTGTGAAACAGAATGCAAGTCACTTAACAAACTAACACTTTATACTTGTTTCTTTAATCTCGGGACAGCACTGATGAGATAAAAATGTGCAGTGAAATGAGAGTGACTGCATAATATGCACTTGTGGTTCATTTTATCAATATTTTTCAATGACCTCACATAATAGGCCCCAGTCTGGGGCATGACAATTTATTCCATTGTCCATTACGTATTGTTTTTGCCTGTTTGGTTTGCCAAAGCGGTGGGTGGTTATAAATAAGGCTATATCCAAATATTCCTCTGTTCAGCTATTTGTTAGTTAAGCAGGTATTCTTTTTTAGGACTGGGATCACCAGTCCCAAAAGAGTTGATCTCATTGTTTTTTTAAATAACACCTTTTCATACACTTTTAGTGGGCTAACTAAACACATTTCAAAAGTATGTGGGGACATTATCATGGTGCTGTCCAATAGTGTCGCACTCTCAAGCCTTGAAATACTCTCTCGTTCTCTCTGCTGTATGCATTGTGGAAGGAAGCAGCTAGGCTTCAGAGTGACAGCAGTCATGCATGGTGAGAGAAAAAATTAAGGAAAACTAAGAGCTCCAGGGTTCTTTCTAACTTTATCCCTAATTGACCATTTTATGTATAAATATATCTGAAATCACAGCAAATTACAGCTAACCTCATCTCACTCGCCTGGTGAAACTTATATTATTTGCTGTTGATTACTACCGATGCTTTAAACCTGCCCAAAATTGTATTTGAAATGGCCCTAATGAGATGCACCAATTGCCAGCTATTCAGTTTGTTAACTCATGCTGGTGACGTGTGTGTTATAGCATTGCATGCAAATTGCACACTTCTCCTAACACCTGCTGTACATGCATAGTGGTTAAATGACCAAATCTTATCTGTAACCCAGGTTGTCAATTAAGGTTCTTTTGGATTAATGTCATATAACCTTTAAAATACATTACTGTGTCACTACTCCTCCAGAACTCTGACCACATTGACCCTGAAACTAATGACCAATTGATTAACATTAGCTACCTCTGTTTGCTAATTAGCACTCACCCTTGCTGTGACAGTGACAAATTTCGTGCCCTTCACCTGCTTAAAGGGAGCGTTATTGACCTATCCAGATTGAAAATCCTTACAACTGCCTGTACCTTTGTATGTTTTCACTGTGGAAGGATCCTCCGTAAGATATATGTAAACACAGACAAAGTCAAGCTCTGGCAGGGACTTCACTGTTTTCAGTGATTGAAATAATGGAGTGGGTAATTTGTTTTCTTCATTTGTGGTTTACATGGTAGAAAATTAATGAGCTGGTGCTGCAGTACTATGAACTGTCCAATGTTGACCAGTTCGTTCCGTCGTGTGGCTCTCAATACCAGCCACCTCACTGAAAACTATGAATATGTGACTCCATTCAGTCAGATGGCAGTACTGTATTACTGATAAACATGAGAGTCTGATTTTTTTTTTCAGAAATGCGGCCCCACATATCATTCTGTTTCATCATATTTGTTGTTACACTGTGCAGCTGAATGTGCTGAATAATGATGTTATAGATGACATCTCTTTGACAGATGGCAGTCGCTCAGCTGTTTATATTCTGGCTCTGTGAAAGATGTAATCTTGTCGAAACATCCTGACTGAATTTCTACTTTCTTTCCTCCTTCTGCTTTGCATCATCGGAAACCCCGCTTTGGACTGTTTTTGAAACATTTTGATTTATTATTAACATAGGTGCATTACAGATATGTGGTAGATGACAGTGAACTTAATATTAATAAAAAAACAACCCATAAACCATCTGAACATTCACCTTCACTGGCTATATTATAGTAATGTTATTCACTTGCACACGTTGATTGTGATTTGTTGTTCATTTGTGGTGTTGCAGTGATGAAAGCATTTGTGTAGTCATTACTGTGGAAAGCATGCTTTTTTTACTTTTCTCCATAGCTTATACTAATTCAGTGTAAAGACAGGAAGGGCTATCATTATCGGCATGACTTTATTATTGCACTGCAATTTATTATGGTTCTGACTAACCAATTAATTTTCTTTCAAATGCTGCTTGCTGTTCAGACTCTGTTTTCATGGGGTTACCCTAGTAACCAAATGTTTGGTGTTTAAAATGTCATTAAAATGTCAGAGGAAGATGAAAAATGTTCATAACCAACATTAAACGAATCCTAGGCGACATATGAAATGTCATGTTTGGTATGAAGAGCAGTCCACAACCCAAAGATGTTTAGTTTATGATTACAAGGCAGTAAATTCTCACTTCTGAGAAGATAGAAGCTGAAAGATGTTTGGTAGTATTTCTATAAATACAAATAACCTAGACAGTATGTTGAATATCAAAGTAGCTGGCAGATCGACTACTCGGCTGATTCAGTCAAAATAGTTATTATAAACTTTATAAAGGCTATTTATTTTCTGCACTTTTACTTTAATGTAGGCACCACTGTGTTTGACATTTTCCCTTCAGTTGTAACTACCATCTGTGACTTAAAACCAATAGCTCAATAGACACAGTCCCCTTCTTTTATGGCTTGGTTAGATAAGGTATCACAAATAATTTGAGTCTTGGTATTTGAGAAGTTACACTGACATACACCAGTGAACTGTTTATTTCATTACAATAGGGCACTGGTATTTTTCACAGTGCTGCTGTTTTCCCGTCAGTGGCGTGTTCTTCTGCCGCAAGCATTCACATCACTTCTGCTTATTCTTATTGTACATACAAAGCTCTGCCAGGAACATTTTAATATCATAAAAACTGTCTAACTAGTTTTGACAAGAGAAGCTCTCATTTGCATTATCTTGACTCTAAGTAGCAATCTATTACTATTATTAAGTGTTTTAAAGTACTGTAGAAATGATGATGTTGTTCTAAATAGCAAACTGTATAGTTTCTTCCTTTACAAAGTCAACATAATGATGTTAAGAGTGAATTTACCAGAAACCAGAAAGTACAGCGGATTAAACCTACTAGTAACACATGTTATGTCATCTAGTAAAATCAGCTATTACAATGAAAGCAAGCTTGCACTCATTTAAATACTGAATTATGGATCTTAAAAATATGTGCCTCATGTTCACTGCAGCAGTAGTTGCACAAATGTCTGTCTTTCAAGGAAGTAAGTGAGAATTCTGCCATTACAGCCAGCCCCCTACTCACTCTTACCTGCTAGTACAAGTTTGTTACATTTTGAAAATGTCAGAGCAGAAAAAGTACATTCATCATTCCCTTAGGTTTTGTCAAAGTGCTGTGCATGATAGATTGATGAGCTGACGCACAAGGTCTGATTCATTGTCCCTCACATTTCCTTGCAGGCGACAAAAATGTAATGACATGAGCATAAGTACAGGCCTGCAAACTTTTTAAAAATAAAGGTCCACCATTATCAGTAGTGCCAGGTTGCTACATTTCCTTCTGTCCATCTATCTTAACCTGCTGTGTGTAGTTTTGGGAGCCTGTGGCCCAGATCTGTCATTCCTATTCACATTATTTATTCCCCTCTGCCTCATTGACATTGGCACTAGACTTGGCCAGTCCCAGTTGGCCCATTCTGAAATTGCTTACCGTAGAAACATCCCCACAGTACCAACAGACTGCTACCCCCCATACCAGCTGTTCAGTAGTCACATTCACCTAATGTAACCTACTGAGTCCCCCCCAAAAGAACCCTCCAAAAAACAAAAACAAACCTACCATCAAAAAAAAATTTCTAGTTTAGTACAGATTGTCTGAAGAACTGCCCAGTTGAGACTCATATTGCAGAGCTTAATGTGACTTCTGGTTTTGCCCTTTTCTGCAGAGGAAGCTCTTGAGAAGGTGGTCGGATTAACTGAAGGAGCTGAACTTGGGGCTTATTTTGTTTCCAAGTTTTATCAAGCTTTCATCCCATTTCCCACTCCTTTTTCACTGTTTCTCTTCATTTGCATTCTCTCGTTGTACAGTTGCACAATAATGCAGTGTTTGTACCTGAATACTTTGACATAATCAAAATGCTGCTCAGATTCTTCTAAAGGAGTGTGGACAAATGTAGGCCAGAACTCTACAGAATGACAAATACCTTTAAAGTGATACACAATAGAGTTCTCGCTGAACTGACTACAGCTATACTCAGTAGATTACAGATTAGCAGACATATATTGTACTGGTGGTGTTAATTAATAAAGTTAATTACAGTGTCTTAAGGTTAGAGAAGTGACCACTCTTTCATTGATGGTTTGATGGAATTGTTGACTGAGCTTTTTTATGTGCAGAGCCAGCATTTGCTGTTTCCAGACTCCACTGAAACTTTGCCTTCCATTGAAACGATCCACAACACAATGCTGCTGTAGAAAGGCTACCCCCCCATCAAAAGCCTGACCCACTCTGAAACCTATTGTGTTTGTGCACTTATCATTTGGCTGGCTTTACATACATACCTGCACGTTTTTAATTCTGCCCCCCTGTGACATTATCAGCAAAACATTGCTTTTTGAACACATTATCTATGTAAATACCCCAGAATACCTTCAATAGCACATGGGGAAATTTACTTTGTGCAAATTGTAAGATTTTTTTTCATGTCCAATACATTTTAGATGAATATGTTTCTAACTTTTAATTATTTTGTTTTTAACAGAGACCATGACGACCGCCACCTCCCCTATCCTATTGAAATGGGACCCAAAGAGTCTTGAAATTCGCACCTTGACTGTGGAGCGGCTTCTGGAGCCCCTGGTGACACAGGTAGATAAATCTATGACATAAACATAACAAACGGTTTTTACTTACCAGCCATAGCCAGAGCAAAGTCATACTTTTGATAATCCACTCATTTGTTTACAGTAAATAATGTTTGGAGAATTTCTGAAGTCTAACAAGTAAACAAGCTATAATTGTTACAGTTCAGTATCAGAGCAGCAATTACTTTCTGGTTGCACCTTGGCTGGATCACTTGTTACAAGGTTGTTAAACTGTATTGGTTTACAGCCAGGGACTTTGGCTCATCGCAAATGACTTTGCCTTCTAAGCTGAACAGATGGCTGAAGCAGACTTTGATCACGTTGGCTTATTGTGACAGAGTTTCTGACTAGAATTGAATATTGTTTCTATTTAGTAGATTCACTTTCAGGTTCTTGTTTTGTCTAATATAGTATTATATTATATTATAGTACAGAGATCCCTCGCTATAACGCGGTTCACCTTTCGCGGCCTCGCTGTTTCACTGATATTTTTATTTATTTATTTTTTTAACAGTGCATTGTGTTCTGCGTCTTGATTGGCTGTAGACCATTGTCAATCAATCTCGTGCCGTGTCTCCTGTACAGTACAGAATGCGTTCAGCTTGTCAAATTTACATAAATCTTCGATTGCTAGCAGTGTGACTCTGAAGTGCTGCACTGTATGTTTGTAAGTTTTCTCCTCAACAAACACAACTGTGTCGACAAAATGCGGTAGCACCCAAAGGCAGAGGAATATGCTAACCATCGCACAAAAAGTTGAACTTCTAGACATGCTAAAGGAAGGTAGGAATTACCGTATTTTTCAGAGCATATGGCACAACTGAAATAATAAAAAAAACAAAATATAAACCATGTGCAACCACTGATACATAAGCAATAAATAATTATGAAAGCAATGAATATGAGAAACTGGTCTTTGGTACCCCCCCCCACACACACACACACACACAAACAAACAAACAAAAAACCTTAGTTTGATTGTCCTCTGCTAAAGAACAAGAAAATGAGTTGTATATTGGAATTATTTTCTATGGTCAGGTGAGATGAAGATAAATCTCTCTGTATAAGATTTGATCCAGCACACTTGCTGTGAACCTGGCCAAAACTGCGACATTGTTGTATAGTTCTGACAGTGAAGCATTGAGGTGAGAATGCAGCAGTACAAGGCTGCGTGAATGCCAAAAGCTTTTGTGGAGATAGCACTTTGAATTCCTATGGCTATACCGAAAATATGGGTAACAATGTCAGAAACTCAACAGAACAGGAATATTTCAGCATAACAATCCCAAAACACTGTCAAAAGACTCGCTACAGAAGAGGAAAAAAACCCAAGTGAAAACCACAACCTCGCTATGTTTGTTGCCTGGAATAGAAGAACTTTTGGGTGTTTTAAAGAGGTAGAGCATCATAACCCCTCCAGCTACAAGCTGCTGAAGAAATCATCTTTTTTTTCCAGAAAATTTATGCAACACTACAATCCTTCATGCTGAGGAGGATTCACTCCTCCTTAGTGCGGAGGGTTTTATCAGAGACGTTTCGTCTGACTTCTAGCATGTGTTAAATATGGTTTAAAGGCTCAAACCTTGGATGAACAATAAGCAAAACAAAATGTGTATGTGTTATAGTGATTAATGCTTTTTAAAGAGTTGGTTCAAGCACATGAATATGGCATGAACTGCTGTTTCCTTCAGAATCCATACCAAAGACAAGAACATCCTTGGTGATTGTACTTGTGTGATCACCAATTGTAAAATACAAAATAGTAATACGTTCAACTCCAAATTTTAATCACTTGACCATTTCAAATAGATTACTGACTAATAAGAGTTTGTTAGAGACACACCAATTGCAATTTACTTGTCCAATTCCAATTTAAATTTAAGAACTATACCTGGAAGTATAAACAGAAACACTTTTCTTGAAGGCAAATTATTATTTTCATAATAAAAGTAATTCATTATAGTCATTATAGCAGTAAAGTGCTTTATAGCTTAAAGTGAAAATAAAGTGGCCTATTATTATTGGTACAAATATTTAACTGTAAATGAGTACAAATGTTGTACTTATTTAAATCTTTTTAAACAAAAGCGAATTTATATAACAATGCAAATGTGAGGTTCCTACATCATTATTCAGTATGTTTATAAAGTTACCAAATAAGATGACATCAATCCTTTTCACTTTTTCACTTATCTCCATAATTTTCCTCACAACTGCTTTTACCTTTGCTTATGCCGTGGCTGCTGGCTTGCAACTGGCTCGGATGAGCTTTAGCTTTAGCCACTTTGCCTTTGTTAGCTTTATTAAAATATCCATGTTTAAGTCATTGAAGGTTATTTAAGCTTCTCATTAGGTGTCTTTGCACACATTGGCTGTGAGTGTGCACATATCTATTTGCATTACTGTTTTGCTCATGCATGAAGCACACTGGCTCATTATCAGACATGTTGGAGGCTGACCATCCAGTCACAGGTCCAGGCCTAATCATCTGATTTTGGTTCCTGGCCATTTTGTATTATTTATTTCCACTCTGAGTGGTTATCAGTGCAATCAGCCCACTTGTGATTTAGGGAAGGTAATGGCTCATAGCCAAAACACATTTGTCTTGCCCAACAATAAATATTATAATTACAAATTCATTATCATCAAATGTACCAGCAGCCTTGACCAAAGATCCAAGCTTCTTTGCTTGGCTGCACTGTAGGGCTGCACGATTTTGCATAAAATGAGAATCACAATTTTTTTTGCTTAGAATTGAGATCACGATTCTCTCACGATTTTCTTTTCCAATATAAATATTTATTGCGCTTATTAACTGCACATCAACTTCGTAACAGTTGAGACTGAACATAAAAACAATAAATAAACATAAAAACAATAAATGTCTCACATTTTGTCGTTGCTGCAAAATGTTCTACTGCTTGTAATTCCGTCTCCACCGTTGCTCGACACTGCGTGTATAGAGCAGGTAGTGCAACATTTTTAAAATAGTTGCGGGACGGCACTGTGTAGCGTTTGTCTAGGGTGTTGATCATTTTCCTAAATTTTCAACAGTGTTGATGGGAGCCATATCTTTGGTCAGGTGATAAGTGATAGCCTCCGTAATTTCTTTGTGCCTGCGGGAGTTCGACGGGTATAGGGAAGCGCTGTATAAGGTTCCCGTTATTGATGTTTGGGTGGTTGACCGGGACGGATTTTCTCCTGTCACTTTCTTGGCCTTTACAGCTTCGTCATCTCTCACATGCTTTTTTCATCTTTTATTTTGTTTTGCTTTTTTAAATCATTGTCATTTCGAAATGAGATCGCACATAAGTATAAAATGAGATTGCAATTTTCTAACAATTAATTGTGCAGCCTTACTGCACTGTGCTTTGTACTTTTAACCAAGCCCCTTTCCTCTAATGAATGGTCTCTGCAATGTTATGACAGCTTAGATCTTTTCTTTGAATCTCATTCCTTTCGTCAGCTTTTGCTGGGGCTGTATTTCATTTGCTCCTCCTGCGGACCACTATGTTTTTTTTTTCTGTGTCTCGTGTCAACATTTGTTGAGACTACTACTTTTTCTTTCTCAAATTATTGTTTATTATTGTTCTATTTGGTTGTTGTGTAAGATTTCTTTGATTTTTGCTGAAGTATATTATATTTTGCAGGCAAAACTATACAATGCATTTTCACACGTTTCAGTGAGTTTTTTTAGAAATCAACAATGAATTTTCAAGAGGCTTATTCACAGAAATCCTAAAATTACAAATCCTAAAAATACAGAATCCCACAGAGTCTGTTCCAGCAGGCATACTTTCTTTCCCCCAAGATGGCCTAATAAAGTTGCCTTATTGCAGGGCCGACCCACTGGCAGTTGTGGATATTGGATCTGTGAAGGTTAAAATTTCCTCACAGGCTGGGGCTCAGTTTGTTTACTGTTTGGTTCTCCAGAGAATGTTTCAAGTATTGATTTTATACTTTTGCCAGCTTTATCTGTTACAACCGCACTACATAGCCCTTTCTTCTCCTATGTCCAACCTTTACTGTTTGCTATTGTAAGCAAAAGATTACTATATTGTCTAGGTTTATCTGAACTTTGAGCTTTTCTGTCAAGCCATTTTAAAAACCTTCTGTCTGACTTAAAAGTGGGACCAGGTCTCGAAGGATGCCTTCCTCTTCCTCTTATGAGGCTTTACACTAAAGTCCAAAGTCCTCAACAAGTCATGATGCATATAGGTGACATTTTCTTACTATTTGTTCCCTCTTTTAGTGGCCAGGGGAAAAACAGAAATCTTCAGAAAAATAAGTGAACAGTTGAAAGTTTTCATTACATCAGCTTTGAAAAACTCTGCATGATACATATGAAAAGTGATGAAAGCAAGAGTCTATTTGAAATAAGCCAGATCATTGGTATTAAAGTACAGATGGTGTTTCAACAATGTTCTGCTGAAATCAACCAAACATAGGATTTTTTTTGAATTTGGTCAGGTGACTTGAAGTGAAGCTTGTTGTCTTGTTTGCTGTTAGAGCCTGACCGGTATAGGATTTTTAAGACTGTTACGGATATTTGGTGATTTAGATATGTGCTATCTGTTTGCACATATGAAACGTAAACATAACAGTTGTTATACATAGTTATTTATGATTCCTTATTAAGATAATATGACAGTATAATATAAATATTGTTTTATTATTACAAGAACTTGGATGGATTACGCACTTCGACTCTGTCCAACTCTGCTGGAATCAGTGGGTTTTTGTGCTTGTGCCATTCTAAACACATGTTGCCAAAAGGGAAGATGTAGACTATGCAACATCATCAGTTAAAACGTAATGAAAGTGTGCTGTGTCTGCGGGTTTTTTTTTTTTCTTTTTTTTTTTTTTTTTTTTTTTTTTTTTTTTTTAGCAGATGCCTCATTCCTGTGGCTGGAAGGCAAGGAAGAGCCCAGGTTTGAGGATGGGGGGCTTCAGTGGTGTTTTATTCTGGGGTTTCAGCTGTGAGAGAAGGCACATCTGTCTGAAAGCCCTTCATAAAACAGGCGTTGTCCTGTGCGTTATAGAAGAGCTTTAGGATGCTTTTGATGATGGAGTCATTTTCTCAAATCGGACATGTAATTGGTTTGTTTTACCACTGAAAATAAAATGTTAGTGAAGTAGATTATCCTAAGCAGCTTGTTTTTAAAAACAAAAGTGGGAGAAAAGAGGGCTATCTGAGATTTATTCCTTCTTAAAACTCCTTCTAATAAGTTAGAGAAAGCATAATTGTTCCTAAGCTGTCGCTTGTATTTTTGTAGCATGTATAATTAGTGGCAAATTATGCCTGTCCATGAGATCTGTCGCAAATGCTTCTTTGCAGCTTACAGTGAGCAGACACACAATGAGCAATATTTCAGCACGATGTTATTGAATAACAGCCAGATGGTTTTACAGCTTAATTAAATGCACATTCTCAGCTTGGCAGGCTTAGTAAATGAGCAGTCAGGAAATGTCAACAAGTAATGGATCAAAGACGAGTTCTCTGACAGCTGAGTGTGTTTTTATTGTCTTATAATGGTAAAGGCATCGCTTTGAAAGAAACAGTTGTAATGGTACGAACGCAGCATCGTCTCAACTCAGCTTAAGTTTGGAAGACAGTCGAGCGGTTCAGTCAGAAGTGCCTTTGTTTAGTTTTTTTGCGGGGAGGGGGGGGTTATATATTGTTTTGGGCCTAATAGTTAATGTTATTATGAATTATTGAGAGAAGGATTTGGAGATGTGTATTTTTTCAGCAGTGATTCATCGTTGTCTAGACAAGGGATGAAAATAAGCTTTAAGTCCAATTGAGCATGTCTATTCGGTCTCAGATGTTTATTTTCTACAATCACTCCTGGCTTTTAAGGTCATTTTTGTGGTTTATCTATTTATTTCAAATGTTAACCTGTTAAGATCTGAAGTTTAGATGAGACCATATGCAGTCTTCTGGCTCTTTAATGTAGGCCAGAAATTGATAACTTAAGGCATACTTTAATTACAGCTGGTGTTTAAGAAAGTTAAAGTTAAATAAAGCATTTATAAACACACACACACTTTGATTTGTAATATATGTAATATTTGATATGATGGGAAAGCAGCATTACAAAGTGGCAAAACAGATGAATATAATATGGGGTACATTGTTTGTTTGTTTTTGTTGTTGATTTTTTTAAGCAAGCCATGACTTTGCATAGTGCACGTTTAGATTTATGGTTTTGCTTCTGACTTTTGATCTGGATGTGCAAAAGAAGAAGTCGTGCATTTATAAAGCTTGGTCGCCTGTAACATTGGGAGCAGAGGCCGTAATATATTACCTCTGCCCCGAAGGAGAAGGAAGGAGAGGTCAGTGTGCCCTTAAGAATCTTACTCCACTGAGACATTTAGTTTACTTTGCTGAGTCACACTGCAGTGTGACTGTTATCAAGCTGTTGTGTGCCTGACTAGTAAAGAAGGCCCGCATTAAAATGCTGCACGAGCAACAAAATACAAATACAGGTGTCTGCTTGAGTTCTAAGGCTGTGTTTCTGTCTCGTCCAAAGGTACGGGAAGATGTTCTCAATTCATTAAACAATAACTTCCTCCAGACCCTAAATCAGGCCTGGAATGACCACCAGACAGCTATGGTGATGATTAGAGACATCCTGATGTATATGGTGAGTATACAGTCATGCAGTAAGACATATGAGCGTTAGATATAAATATTTTACACATAACAGCTGTATTTTATATGCTTAAATATACATTTAAGCTCAGCTGCTGTTAATTCATTCTAATGTTGTTTGGGACATTTTTGTGTGTCTGTGTCACAGGATCGGGTGTACGTACAGCAGAATAGCGTTGAGAACGTCTACAACCTGGGCCTTATCATATTTAGGGATCAAGTGGTTCGCTACGGTTGCATCAGAGACCACCTCCGACAAACCCTGCTAGACATGATTGCCCGGGAGAGGAAGGGAGAGGTGGTGGACAGGTAGCCAAAAGTCACAAATGGCATTATCTAATAAATTATCTTTAGTTTTCAAATAAAATGAAGTTTGCGTTCTTGATCTTTAAATGGAAAAGTCATCATTTCTCACCAGGGGTGGACATGGCAGATGCCTTTGGTATTAGAAATATAAGATCTGTCAGATACATCTGCTGCATTTGCACCCAGTGGGCAAAAGCCTCAGAGCCTCTGGCATTTTAAAAACATTGACTATTCTGAATTTCATGCACTGTGGACTGTAACTGTTTTTCAATGGATGAATAGTAAAAAGTTAGTTGGCAGTTATACTGAGTGTGAAATGAGCTTCCACAAAAGTTTTTTTTTATGTTTTGTTTTGCATTA